ATAAGAGTATCATCAATGAAAAGTCTGACAATGTTTGTCGACGTGCCGGATGAATAATAACAAGTAGATTGTACCAGATTGTAACGATGATTAGAATTGACATGTTTTTCTAAAAAATTATTAATAAAAGAAGTTTGCTTTTTCTTCCGAGGATCATACCGCATTGGAAAAACTGTATCATCATAGTAGTTTCTACATAATTATATATTTTGACACGTCTGAAGTGCGTTAAGTATCCACAATCTAACGATAATTAACAGGTTGTGTGTCGGTAAGCCGTGACTATCTCGAACCCGTCACCGCGTTGTTCCGTCAGCTGTCGACGAGAATTACGAAGCGTTCCCTTATTAATCGGTGGAAATCAATTTGATCCACGTCGATATCGTCGACACGTGTACAACGGAAGTAGGTTCATTGTAGCGAGGCATGGATTTACGATTACGGTTGTATGATAATGCAGGTAATGTAGGCTACGTGTCTCGTGTAAAGGATGGAAAGCGTGTGCGCATCTGGGACGCGTTAATGTGATAAGCATAAAACGATCGCAGGCTGCGCGTTACACGCGTGCTTTTAGTACGTTACGATTTTCCACGTTGCAATCTAATCGTGTTTCCTTCCTCTTTCCACCTGACAAACACGGATAGACCTCGACAGACCTGTGGTGTCCATTCAATCGTCTATTGAAATAGAGGATAGAGGCACGGTCCAAGGAATTCTAAGAGCGGCTCGCCGTGTCGAGTTCCCAATCGTTCACCGCAAAACCAACAGCTGTCGCGAACCATCATTATCCTCGTTCAACCTGACTACGGAAACCAACAGCAACCATGAAACTGGGTTAACGTTACGACGTTGCTCCATTTTTGCGACAGCTTATTAGGAAATCGAAAAAATTCCGTCCGAATTAGATTCGATTTCACAGCGTTTCGCATTGAAGAGAGTTCAAAGTTGAGAATTTTCTTTCATTGCGGTGCAAACGTTTTTGAATGGAGTAGCAAAGGGTCCAAGACGGTTCGGCGTTTGAAATTGTTTAAGCGTGTCAAATGAAGATGATACCGCGTCGGATAATAGATAATGGTTGGAATCTATGGCGACACCGGTTTTCATGTACGGGAACCCGTGCGTTAGCTGGGATCGCTGTAAACGATAGGTGGAATCGCACGCACTCGCGTAACCCTGCTCCGATTAAGCTACCGACCACTATTTGCAACGCTCGATGCGTAAAGAATTATAGGCTGTGCAACCAGCCTCGTTCTCGGGCCAGAATGCGATAACGCTCGCGATATATGCCCCATGGCTCGCGGAAATCGGTGACCGCTGATCGGTATCGTTGTTTTCACCCTCGATGCTGCGCGAAAATTCGAAAACCGTGAAATCTGTGAGAACCACACCATGCGGTTTCGATGATTTAACATCGTTGGATTAGTTGCAGTTTGTTTTTTTTTTCGGACGATATAATCCAGAGATTTCTACTTTGTTTCTGATGATATTGCTCACGCGATTTATGTTGCGGAAGTACATTTTTTTAGAAAGTGTGAAAGATTTCTATGTAATAGGGCTTCCATTATCGGAACAGCTGGATGACTAGGATGTTTGGATAATTGGTGTTTACATTTAGGAAAGTATGCCGGAGCATGACTCTTCGCTATTTCATGTTCCGTAGTTCGCACGAGGATAGTTCCGGTAATGAAACCTCGATAGTAGGTTTAGTTAAGTATTGACACAATTTCGTTTTGATAATTCTTCAGTTCGAAGATCGCTACTTTTCTGTTTTCGTGAATGGATGTCTATTATAAAGATGTTAAAGCCACGATTTTTGTCAATTAAAAGTTTTTGCCGGCAAAAGTTTCGCCCATCTTACGACCGTCTGATTTGCATATACGACCATGTCAGACACAACTTGTAAATTCGAATGACAGACATTAGTATTCGTAACAGAGCGGTTTGTTCCGCGCGCCGAAATTCATGAACCACGAGCATGTATAGGGTGTACACTTCCACTGAAAAGTGATGGTGTCCCGCCTTCTCGCCCTTTCCCATAGGCATCCACGAGGTCTGTGGCCCCTCATTGTGTAATAGTTTATATGGGAAAATTTGAATTTATATATACTTCACTATTCGTACTCTTCTAAAAAATCAACAGGGGATGATAAAAATTGAATTGATATTCAGTTTTTATTATAGCTGATGATGCATTTTGGAAATTAACTTGAAAAGCAAGGTGAGGTAGAAGCAACGTTTATACGACCTTTTATTATTTACGTGAGCTGAATCTACCAGTGAATTTATGCCCATACATTATGGTAAACCCTGTATAGGTATAACAGTGGGCCCGTAACACTGTTTCGCGCTACGCAACCGGTCGTTATTCCTTGCCGCACGTACACGCCTCGACAAATAGGCAAAGTCGCAGTATGCTAATATTAATTCAGCGAGAAATTACATTGGCAAACGAATGCAAAGTTATGTCGGGCGTGATCCCAGATGCCGCGGCAGGGAGGTTGAATGTCCCCGTAACAACGGGCACGGATTAGTGCTCGGTACTAACGTAATCGTATGCCTGGTGAATATTTCATGAAGCGCGGAAAAAAGAGATGACACCTGTTCGAAAAACCGTTAGCGTACTCCTTTTGACCGCCAACGACGGGGCGGTGATGGCAAACGGACGTTCGGCGACTTATTTCGATGCAAATTTTCAAGAGAATGCCCGCCGCGAGTAAGTTTCAGGAAGCAGTTTACGCGCGCCTCGTCGCGAGTCTCGTACACTCGCAACTTAATAAACTCGCATCCTCTAAGTAGAAAGATAGATCAAGATTCGCCTAATCAATTTAACCCTCTGATGATAGAAGTCTGGATTAAAAAAAAATATTCCATCTTCACAAAATTGATGGTACAGGTGATAACTAATTTAGATAAATTCGTTAAGTTCATATATTGGAAAAATAGGTAATTTCAAAAGAGAAATTCTCCATGGTCCATCGTTCGAGGGTTGAGCTTCTAATCCCAACGTTCATCAATTTCGCATGATTTACGATTTTAAGGAAAATCACAGGTTAATGAACCTAACGATATTCTAAATCTGGACACGATTATCAAGCAAGGTCTTTTTTCTTATTACAACCACTTTTTTTTTTACGACCAGTCTAATACAACTCGTTTCGGACCGGCTATTTTCGCGGTCACGATTAGAAATTGAACTTTACGACGGTGAATAACACTCCGAAGGCCGAACGAATAATGTTCGCAACATTGATGGTTTCAATAAAGAGTATCGATTTCTTCCCTAGGATAAATGCATGCATTAGGCAACGTTGATTAAACTGGATACTTAAATTAAGTTAATGGTACCATATTTCTGATACGACCAAGGGTAAGAAAGATTTCGTGTAATCAGGTAACAAGATAGGTAATCTATAAGGTAGTAAAGCAAGTCATGTTATTAACCGGTTGTGGTTAATAAATCCATTACACGAGGTCATTAACAGCAGCACCGTCGACGTCAAAATAGTATTTTTAATAAATACTAACTTTAGAATTTTTTAATAAAAAAAAAAAAAAATCTCGCGAGTATTAAAAATTAATGATAATATGAAAGAGTAGTAGCGGTTGGGTAAATCCTGGGAAGCTCAATGACGTTCTCGAGCGAGAACACGTGCCATGGTCTCGAAACCCTTTCTCCGGAGGTATAGTAATCAATGGTACGAAGTTGCGTAGACTCGGTATCGTTCATTCACCCAAACGATCCGTAAGGTACGCAATGTCTTTCGAGTCAACGTCCTACCGGCACGGTTTCACGAGACAACGCGACTACCGAGCTATTATGCGATCCTGCAAAGCAGACCGACTAGGGAGATCGATTCAAGTTCGATCCATGGACCGGCTTCGAATATACGCGTATGCATAAGTAAAAGAACCCTATACACCTGCCTACAGCTGCGCGCTGCTCGAGGATTCGTTTCGCCGAGTCATCGATTTCGTAGCATCGCAGGTTAACCACTTGAAAAGGATTTATATTCAAAATTATCCTAGTAGATCTACTAAACGTATGAAGAAAAATTGCAATATCGAGTCATGTTTGGGCCAACATCCACGCACTTGCGCGTAGTCGATTATGTCATGCGTTGTGGAAGGGTTAATGATGGATGACCGTAATCAACCCTTAACAACGAAAGGGTCGAGTGCCAGACTATCCAAGTATAGGTTCTATAGCGCGTTTTATAGCGCTCTAACTAACGTCTCGTCATGGAATTGACCGAGATCATCGTCGACGACAGAGGCAGGAACGGTTACGCGTTCGTCCGGACCGCTAACCGGAATGCGCGCGCGCTAACTCTTCAGCGTCTCTCGAGGCTTGGTGCTCCGCGAAGCAGTTGGGTGCTCGAGACTCGGCTCCGACGAAGAATGAGAGAAAGAGAGACGAACGGGAAAGGAAGGAGGAGACACAGAGAGAGAGAGAGAGAAAGAGAGATAAAGAGAGAGAGAGAAGAGTGTGGGACAGACATCCGCGGGAATGGAGCCTGCTGTGCTCGCGATTGAAGAAGATGGCAAATGAGCGAGAGCAAGAGGCCACACCGCGGAGTGAGAAAGATGGACAGCCTGGAAGCACGTGGAGATTCGAGGCACATTGCGCCCAGACCAGCGGCACGAAAATTTGGTGAGGCCTCCTTGCTTGCGGACCGACCACATTCCCTCCCCACCCGATTTCCTCGTACGAGAACCTTATCCGCCTGGCTGTTTCGTCCTGGTCCGTTCTATCCGCGTGCGAGTTTACATCGACAGCCGGATCATCGGGGGCCTGGTTTGCATTAACTGTCGCAGCATCGCGGTTCGGCTTGAATGGGAAGCCCGTTAAGCGAAAACGAACGTCCCGCGAAGGGAGTATTTCATTTTCTTTTTTCAACTTTCACGATTACGAGACACCGTGAACGTTGGACAGCGGTTACGTTGACATTTCGCGAGAGAGAAATAATGAATAGCACCGTTTGCGCATGAATAAGGCTCACCTAGCGATCGCGGAGTGCGTGCGGAGTCGCCACGTGTTAGCTGCAGCTTAGCGGCTCCTCGTGCCGCATCCCGGCAGCTGCTTTATCTCCTTATCCACCCTCCTTTCGTTCTCGTCGCGCGTTTAAACCCTTAGGTAGATGGCTCGTTACCTCCTGGTCACCTCTTCACGCGTTCGCACCGATCGCTGGATCCTCCGTTTAATCCACCGAACGATCGACGGGGTCGAGTTCCCTCGACGTTCAACGAGATCCGTCACTCAACACAATTCACCCGATACCGTGTACTCTCTGTCGGCGTTTACGTTCGCGCGATCGCGATCATCGCTCTCGGACTGGCACACCGCAAATTGAGGCGACCGATTCGATCGGTAACTGTGATTACTCGCGCGGCTCGTTCGATCGAATGGGATCACCGACAGTCAATGAGAGACCGGATTTTATCGCGCTACTATGCCCTGATACAAAGTTGTTTTCCTCGGGATAAGAATATACGTGCGTGTAGAGGGACAAACTCCCGTTCGGTCGTAGCCGATGCGAGTGAGCATCGATAACGGCAGTGGTAGCAATAACGGCACCAACAACGACAAATAGCGTATCCGTCAAAATGCTCCCCGACGTACACGTTCGTCGATTTCTCCTCTCCTCTACCTCTGGCTCTTTCTCTTTCTTTCTTTCTTTCTCTATCTGTCCACTACGAAAGAATGCGTAACCACACTGGTTTACGGTTCCGTTCGCGACGAAGATGTTCTGCGGACTGATAACCTGCCGTCTACTTACCTCCGGCGAGCGCCCCTAACGCGCCGAACTCCCTGGCACGACAGGTGCTCCGAAGGAGGAGTGGGAATAAGAGGATGGTCTCGCGGAGGGGACAGGGATAACCTACTCGTCGTAGCAGCAGCAGCAGCAGCAGCAGCAGCAGCAGCAGCAGCAGCAACAGCAGCAACAGCAGCAGCAGCAACGACGTCGGCGGCGGCGGCGGTGGTGGCTGTTGCCGATGTGTATACGCATCGTGAGACAGAGACGGAGGGTACGGGAGAAAGAGAGTTACGATCACGTTGGAACGAGAGATGGAAGAGGAAGGAGGATTGGGAAAGAGAAGGAGACGGAGAGAGGTGGAGGAAGACGGCGGCAGGCCGTGCAACCAGCACCGAGCAGACCGAAGAGAAGAGGGCAACGACACCGCATCGCGGGTCGGTGGGCTTCGACACATTTACCGAAAACTACATCGTCACCACCGTCACCGTCACCGCCACCGATGCCGCCGTTCGGATTCTCCGAATCTCTCGATAATTGATCGATCGATCGATCGATCGATCGACACCCGACTAACCACTACCATACGATAACTGGAATTTCCACGTACCCCCTTTCGACAAACCATTATTCCTCTAATAGGGCGAAACTTTAGAATTAGGGAACGTTAGGGTCGTCGAAAGGTGTCGCTGAGAATCATTGGTCGTCGTGGTCGCAATCGAGTTACCCCTTGCGGAGCTTATCGTATTCTGGCTGCATTCGTGCGAGCGTGTGGAAGCATTTCTTCAGTAGTAACATGGAACGAGTTAGGAATTAGGGTATCTGGGATTATCGTTATTTAGAGAGACGTCGGGTGGTCATTCTCGATCGTTGGCCTCTTCGGGGCCCGGCCATTTCGTAGCCGGCCCGCGTTTTCCGTCTCCCACCCTCCTCATCTTTGCCGCTATCGCGCCACCTCATCCTTCTCATCCTCTTCCTCTTCTTTCTCCTCTTCCTCTTCTCCCGTACTCTTATACGTACATGCTTCACCCTTTTTCTTTCTTTCCTTCGTGCCTTTCCTCTTTCTTCGACTAGGGCAGCTCCGGGAACACCGATATCTCGAGAACGATCTGCGATCTGGCCCTTTCCTTCGCTCCCATCCACGATCGACAAGTCGCGATGACTATTTGCGAGGGCATCTCGACTTTGCCATCCGTCGAGATTCCTCGAATCGTCATCCTCAACATCCATTACTCACTCGCTATTTTACTATCTCTACCACCTCGATTTTATCCTTTACTCGCGCTAGACAGAAAGGGTTGCGTCACCAACTCTCATCTTTCCTTCCATATTTCTTCCACCCGATATTCCTCTTATCGATATCCATCACAGGCTCTAGCTCATCCTTTTTCCTACCTCCAATTGTGTCGTACCTTATATTCCGGGCTTGTTCGACATCCGAATGACGTTCCCCATCGATCATTCTCTCCTTCCTTGATATCCGCGTAGCTCGACCGACCGTTAATCGTGACACATTCCCCGATATATAGAAATCCATGGGAAATAAATATTCGGATTAATTCGAATTATTAATTCCGCGACGATGGGTAAATATTCATGAATAAGCGTGTTCGGTTTGATGTACACCCTTCGGCTGGTACGACGCTCTCGCGTAGCCGATGGCCGAGTATCGGCAACGTTCGACGAAAAAACAAACATTTTCCGTTTTCAAGATCGCGCTAAAAACCTGGTGCAGTCTCTCTAGCGCGCGTTCTGAGAAGGATCGGGGTCGCGGGACCGTAGCGTCGCGTCGCGTCGCGTCGGCAGAAGGCAAGCGTTCCTGTACGCGAGAAGATGCGACGCGAGGCGGGACGGAGCGGAACGCGATGGGCGATCCGATCCGATCCGATCCAAGGCGAGGCCAGGCGAGACAAGACCAGACGAAGATCGACCAAGGCGTCGTCGTTGTGCGCTTAACTGCCCTAAAAGGCAGTTCTTCCCTCTTAGCTACCTAGTCACCGTTGTCTCCACGAGCACCATGCCTACGGCGAGGTGTCCCGAACCAATCCTCGCTTTCCATCTCAACATCGACGCCTCGAATTGTTTCGAGTAATTATTCTAGAAACAAGGAACGTTTTGTCTGAACAGAAAGCGGAAGTTAAATTGAATTGTTCAGAAGACAATATCCAATTCAATTTATGTTTCCTACCGAATGGAAATTTAGCATAGGATTAACTGGACCATCCAATAGCCCCTCTGGCTATCTTTGAAAATTATATCGTGCACTCGAATATCTTCCAAACGAAAACAAGACGGTTGACACGGTCCGGGATTATCCATCAATTTTCCGAAAAGTTCTCACGACATTGTTGAACGAACGGATCGATCCCGCTGGTTTGATCCTAAGGATCGGTCGGTAGCGGGCAGACAGAGCACGTTTGCTCGCACGTGAGCCGCATTTTCGGCTGAGGCGTCGTGTAACAGGGCCACAGACGCCGCTGGCCATTGTCTTGTTCCCTTGTACCGATGAATCCTCTTCGATCGCAAGACGAATATCAATGAATCGGTGAAAAAAGAAGGTGATCGCACGATTCGATCGTTATCGTTCGTACGGTGTCAAGACGCGTACGCTAATGACTTCTCGGTAACGAAGCACTTCCTTGCAAATTGCTTCGCGTGATTAGGCTTGTCCGCTTCACAGAAGCGTCCGGCTCCATTAGAATCGTTCGATCCGCTCGAGACGCGCGGCACGATCGTGTTACAGGCCGATCGTTGCCAACGCGGACCCATCCAGACGTCTTCAGGCATTTCAAACTCGCGCGGTCAACTAGCGACCGGAATTTCTTTCGTCTTTTTTACGACACGCAAGAAACGTACAGTAAGCTATTGTTCGAGCTTCACTTCGCTCAGGACACGTTACGGGAAGTCGGTGACGTTTCTTGCCAGCTACACTGACGCGTAAGTTCCCTTATTCGAGGACGATCTGAATGTCCGGGGGAGACGGGACGCGTGCATTCTTTACCCATATGATTTGTCGTGCATTGTATCAAGGGAAGACAAAAGATTGAAAAATCTTTCATCTATCTATCATCTTCCATCCAATTGCTCGATAATAGCATACTGTTTTTAAAAATCAAATTTAAGTCACCCTTGGCTGCCCGCCGCCCTGGGCGGTAGGCTAATCTCGTCCTCCACAGTGGGTACTGATTATTAGGAAATAACAAATTAATAATAACAAATTAGCCTTTTTTGCGACTCATGCGTCGATAATTGGCTTCTCCTTACAAAAAAAGGAGGTTGTTCATCGTTGAAGTAAACAAATTATGTAGCATAACGGACGTCATTCTGGAGATCCTTAGAAAAGATTAGGATCAAGAACGTTTTGTTCTCAAAGTATGATTCCATGAATTACGCACGGGTTCAATGGCATCAGAAACAGTAACACCGATCTTATGTGGTGTATAGTAATTACATAGGTGTTCATTCAGAGGATCGGCCAGGTTTCGCAACGATTCAGAGGCAAATGTAGGATACATTCCAGGAGATACGAAACCATTACACAGTGATCGTGAACGGTGACTCATTCATCTGTGTGATAAAAGTCATAGGTAGTACAGGATCCCCGAAATTGCCGCCGCAGGCGTTTTCAACAAAAGCGTATCCAATATTGCAGAAAAAATTGCACGAGCTTTCTGTTACGTCAGTCGAGAGTCGATCAAATTGATCGCTCGAAATCGTTTTGTGTATTACACCATACTCCAATAGAAATCCTTTCAATTCTCTAGTTAAGCTCTTACCCTTTGCTTTCCGAGTTCCATATCACATTTAAACGCAATTGATATTGCTAATAAATGAAAGTTCATGTTATTTTCATTTTCGAAATTTGACAGTGTTCCTTTAAAAATTATTCTCGCAATATATGGATGTATAGATATTAACTTTAGGTTAATATCCTTGTATACGTTTCATAAATTTTGGTCCCGGTTTACCCGGACTCCGGTGTTCAAGGGTTAAGATTTATGATTATGTATCGAAAGCAACCCTACTCGTAAGTTCCAACAAAGTTACAAGAACTTTACTGCTATCCAATTTACTGTTCCATAAATTAGGTGTATCGAATGTAGATTTATCGGTTGCAGAAATAGACAAGGGTGTAGTTATCGTGTTTCTCGTTGGGTCACCAGATATCCTTTCCAGTTCTACTTGGTTCACCACTTGGTGGCACTAAACTTCGATCAAGATTCAAGAACGTTTCTGGCCGAGACCTCGCGGTAACTTACGGCTACGTGTTCCCCATGGAGTCGGATACTTGGTTTCCAGGTCAAAAGTTTGAAAGTGGTGCACACGTCGCGGATGCAGACTAACGTCGAGTTCACGATGATCGAGACACGAGACTCGAGGTTCGTCGAGACGTTCGAGAAGTGTCATGGACGAGGACGACGTGTCTGCATGCGAGTTGCATTCGAGATAGTTACGGTGTGAGCTAGTTTCTAAGCGGATCGAAGGAAACCGCGCTATGTGCGCTACCGACGATTTAGCACGCCGGAACTCGATGCTTATTGGCGCGGATCAAAGAGTTTTCTAGATGAACGCCGAGCGGAAAAAAGGAACGACGGGGCTTACTTTCGCACGATTTCCCCTTGGGGACCAAGGACGATCGATGTCAAGGTCGTAGACTGGCGAATCTTGAACCAAGTGGAAGAAGACACCCATCGGCGCAACGAATAAGGCAATCGCGAGATGCTCACCGGAATAAATTCTCCATGTGTCGTACATGGAGCGATGGGGCCACGGTGACGTGCTTTTACGCTAATTCATCGAGAAACACTTTTCAGTTCACGCTCGCGATTCTTATTTTCACTTTCCACAGTTTCTCTCCCTTTGTATCCACCGTGCACAGCAACCAATTAATTATTTATCATTATTTTCTATAATCTTATTCACCGGTTAAACTTCGTTGAAGTGTCCGTACAAAAGGTATCAGCCGAAAGGTGGGATTTAATTCGGATC